TTATTAACCTCCAGGGAGAGCTAAAGCATTACCTCACACTCCCAAAGTGGTGCAATGGTGCCTTGGTCAAGGCCTCTGGCATTTGGGGGAATAAAGCTTTGGTTTAACCACCTTTTGATTCAGAATTTTTGGCAACTCTCTCCTCCCTAGGAGCTGGAGCAGTAACAGGACCTGAGGCCCTCCCTCACCCACCACAGTTACAGGCCTAAGCAGGAGTCAGGAGGGACTCCAACGGGAAGATAGGCAAGGAGCTTATGAATGTTATTCTGAGCAGTGTGCTTTTCGGTTGGTTTGTCTTTAATTGCTTCTTCCTTCTTTTAGACTGGTAAAACATTGACTCCTTAAGAATAAAATCCAGCTAAAACAGATGATTTGGGATTAGGGAGGCAAAGTTCCATTTGGAGAGAGCACTGGGAGAAACCTCACACAGCTACAAGCCAGTTGAGCAATTTCCCACTTAGAGCAAGCAGAATCTTGGTAGGTCTACATATTTGTGTCTGAGGCCAGAGTAGGCTGCTCCAGGACGCCAAACAGTAGGGCAGCTGAGAAGCTTACAAGCAAAAGCTCTTATGGAAAACAAGGCTCCTGACCTGGGAGAGAAACCAATGGACTAAATCTGGTCTTGGCAGGAGTAGGGCTTATGTCTAGCAATCAAAGTGTTTGCCTCACCATTGGCACACCTATGGGGCACAGGTTTTGGGCAGGAGGTTTCAGGAATTGATAAGTGGCAAAGCATTCGCTATCTCCAGGTTATGTTTTGTCTTTACCCCATTGCTCAGCCAAGGTTGAGGTGCTGTCACATTTCTCCAGAAGAAATGAACTTATGCAAGAAATGAGTTTATGAAAGAAAAGGTTGTTGCTCCATCAGAATCGAGAGAGATTCCCAAGTCTCAAAGAATTCAAAGACTCAGAAAAAGTATTTTTCAGTTTTCAGGAGTCCCTACTAGGACCATGCCTATTTGGAGCCATGTTGGTAGGGAGATGACAGCACATCAGACCCTGTTTCCATCAGCAATCTCATTTCTCTCCACTTACTTTCAGCCCACCCAAGTGAAACCACCCTAACATTGGAAGTGCCATGGAGCTTCTTCCCCTGAGTTGTGGTCATGGCCCAGTTCCCATGATTCTCAGGAGTCATTCAGGGGGCATATCTGGGGGCCAGCACATTTGCAGGTTCTCTAGAATGCCTGGAACTACCCAACACTAGAAGGGTCGCTATGATTTGATGGCAATGGGTTAGAACTCCTGCAACTCAATCCTCATCCATCATTGGTGCCATCCAAGGAGGCCTTCCCACACCAGCTCCTAAATGTGACTTCAACTCTGCAAAGTACAACAAACATCTTGGCTCAGAATTCCTCAGAATCCAATAACTAGGATTCACATCCTCTAGTTGCAGGCAAACCCTGGATAACTCCAAAACACTGATACTCCAAAACTTGCTTGCCTCTGCCCTCTGCCACTGGTGTTTCTCTGGCAACTGTGATTCTAAAAGAAACTCAGTATCATCCAGAAAAGTTGTTCATCACCCTTTTACAAAATGATAACTGGAGATCGCAAAAGGAAAAGTCATGAAGAGTGACTGCCAATGAGTGTTGTTGTCATTGTTAATTCCCATAAAATCAGCTCTGACTCATGGTGACCCCATGTGCAACAGAAGGAATCTTGCTGGGACCTGTGTCATCTTCATGGTCATTGCTATGTTTGAGTCCATTGTTGTAGCCATTGTGTCACTCCATCTCACTGAGGGTTTCTCTCACCTTTGCTGGCCCTTCACTTTACCAAATATGATGTCCTTCTTCAGTAACTGGTTCCTCCTGATGATAAATCCAAAGTAAGCAAGTCGAAGTCTTGGACAATATTCTGTGATCTACAGGGTTTTCATTAGCTGATTTTCAGAAGTAGATCACCAGGCCTTTCTTCCTAGTCTGTGTTAGTCTGGTAGCTCTGCTGAAACCTGTCCACCATGGGTGACTGTCTTAGTTATCTAGTGCTGCTATAACAAATACCACAAGTGGATGGCTTTAACAAAGAGAAATTTATTCTCTCACAGTCTAGGAGGTGAGAAGTCCAATTCAGGGTGCCAGCTCCAGGGAAAGGCTTTCTCTTTCTATCTGCTCTGGGGGAAGGTCCTTGTCATCAATCTTCCCTGGCTGAGGAGCTTCTCAGCGCAGGGACTCTGGGTCCAAAGGACACACTATTCTCCTGGCTCTTGTTTCTTGTTTCTCTGCTCCCATTCCTCTTCCACATCTCGAAACAAACTGACCCAAGACACAACCCAACCTTGCAGATTGAGTCCTGCCTCACCAACACAACTGCCGCTAATCCCACCCATCAACGTCATAGAGGTAGGACCCACAACACACAGGAAAACCACATCAGATGACAAAACGGTGGACAATCACACAATACTGGGAATCATGGCCTAGACAAGTTGACATATATTTTGGGGGGACCCAATTCAATCCATAACAGTGTCACTGCTGGTATTTGAAATTCTGGTAGCATAGCTTCCAGCATCATAGGAACACACAAGCCACTGCAGTGTGACAAACTGACAGATGAGTGGTGGCCAATGAGTAAGGAGTTTCTCTCTGGGGTGACAGAAATGTTCTAAAATTTGATAGTGGTGATGGTTGCACAACTTTGTGAATATACTAAAAATCACTGAATTGTATATGTTAAAATAATATATTTTATATGAATTATATCTCAATAAAAAAAGGTGGGAAGGTCATAAAATATGGCAAGAAATAGAATAAATAGAAACACAGCCTAAATCAGGATTTTGTCCCAGGAAGACTCGTCCTTATTAGGCTGACACCTATTTGGCCATTGCATAAAATGGTTACTCCTTCTTCTTCTTCCTAAATTTTTAAAAGTTGAATGCATTCTTGGGAACTACATTGATATATACAAGTATAAAAGTTTTTCCTGGAAAACCCCCACAGCTTTGAAAATGCAGTTTCATATATCACGCCCTCCAGAAAGCTTCTCGTGATTCCTTCCCTATTTCCAAGATAAGTGTTCCACCTGGATCCAGTAAGCACCCTTTACTAACACTTTATACTGAAATGAGCCATTTGCCTATGACTTCCCACTAGCACAGCCTTGGCATGTAAGAAGTGCTCAAGAAATGTGTACTGAATGAACTGAACACTAGATCATCTTCTTGTAAGGTTGTTTTAAAAAAAAAAAAAAGTATATATTTTTAATCTACTCAATTTACTTCTGCAGAGTTGCACTTCCGCAACCAGGTAGCAAGTAATTTGCTACCTAAAACAACCCAATATCATAAATTGTTCTGTCTGAGGGAATGTAGTCATTCAAGCCAAGAATAAATCAAATGTACCCTTTGAGGAATTTTACCTTGGTAGAGGTAAAGAGGGAGAAAGAATCAGAGCATCACAACCTGTGGTTCCTGGAGGGTAAGAAGATAAAATACATTCTCCTCTCCCTTTCTTTTCTCTGAAAACCTTTAAATATCACGAAGCTTTTAAGCAGAGCCATGAAGTCTATGCAAAACCATCTGAGTACCAGGAGTCTTTTCCTGCCTTTTCTCTTCACTACTGTTCAAAGATTTTCTTAGAAAACCAAAAAGCTATATTATCATGACAGCTATGTAAATAAGAGTTCAGATAATAGAGAATCCACTGAAAATGAGAAGGAGTTTACCCACCTCTTGTGACGGCCAGCGCCCCTGGGTGGTAAAGTTAAAATGCTCTGCTGCTAACCAAAAGACTGAAGGTATGAGTCTACCCAGAGGTACCTTGAAAGAAAGGCCTGACAATCTACTTCCAAAAATCAGCCATTGAAAACCCTGTGGTGCACAGCTCTACTCTGACACATATGGAGTCGACACAAGTCAGAATCAACTCAACAGCAACTGGCTGTATTTGGCCAACATATGCCCAGAAATCTGACCTACAGAGCTACTGAGGTCCAGCTTCTTACTGTAAGCAGCAAGCCAAGCCCTCTGTCAAGGACAGCACCCACACTTTCTATGAGTCAACATCACAGTGCCCACCTGGGCCTTAGTGGGCAATGTGTACCACTGGTGCACGAGCTAGTGAGTGTCAGAGTCATCCCAAGGACACCCCACCTGGGGCCACAGGAGCCTGCAGATAGCACGCCATCTCTGAAAGTCCCTCATTGTTCATCATAAAAATGCTCAAGCATACAGACTCAGGAAAAGAATATTACAATGAACTCTCATATACTCATCCCCCAAGACTCAACAATTGTCCACATTTTGCCATATTTGTATATATATATATATATATATATATATATATATGCATATATATGAAACATTTCAAAGTACCTTACGGACATAACACTTGATACTTCATAACAATACCCCCAAATACTTCAGCATGCGTCTTCCGAAACAAGAATATTATCCTATATACTACAAAACCATTATCCCATCTAACAAAATTAAAATTAGTCCCTAATATTAACTAATTCTCACTCCATGTACAAATTTTCCTCACAGTTATTCTTTCTTTTTTGGTTTTTTTAATTGTGCTTTAGATGAAGGTTTACAGAACGAATAGTTTCTCATTAAACAGTCAGTACACGTATTGTTTTATGACAATGGTTAACAACCCCACGACATGTCAACACTGTCCCTTCTCAACCTTGAGCTCCCTATTACCCGCTTCCAGCTTTCCTGTACCCTCCTGCCTTCTAGTCCTCAGCCCTGGACTGTTGTGCCCAATTAGTCTTGTTTTGTTTTATGGGGCTGTCTAGTCTTTGGCTGAACAGTGAACCTCAAGAGTGACTTCTTTACTGAGCTAAAAGGGTGTCCAGGGGCCATGCTCTCGGGGTTTCTCCAGTCTCCATCAGGCCAGTAAATCCCGCATGGTTATTCTTAAAGGAGATCCTGCCCTGAAATCACAGTCTCTCCCAGCTCTGCCTTCTCCCTCCTTCCACCTCTGATACTGTCTTGCCATCACCAAGTTTCTAACACAGCTCTGAGCCCACTTCTTGAGTACCTGTACAGAAGGTGCCATCATTGGGAATGAATGTCTTGTTGTTGTTCGTGGCTCTGTATCCTTCTAGGCAAATGCAGTAGAAGCCTCCAAGTGTGTTGTGGCAAGATGTGTGGTTCCCACAGACCACAGTAGCTCCAAACTGGCACTCATTTTTATCTGTTGATACATTGAGACAACACACAAAAAAGACTATCAATCCATACCATGTTTAATAACCCAGACTGGTCCCTTATGATTTTCCCCTTCTGTGCTATGGACTCGGAAATCAATATTCCGTGACAACAGCTTGCTGATATGTTTCCCCCAGGTTCTTTTCCCTTCACTGTGCTTTTCACACTAGAGGACGTGGGCTCTTATAGTCATGTGCTAGGCAAATATGAAATCACAAGAGAAACACAATAACTCATTCTGGAAATCCATCTTATTTGAAGACTGGGAGAAGGGGATTATTGTTGAACTTTTTCACACTTAAAAAGGTCTTGCCATAGGCATGGGGAAACAAAATCAGCAGAATTCCACTTTTCCAGCTCAGCCATCCTCTCGCTTTTCAATGAGAGCCAGAGTAGGAGGTTTTTACATCAATGATCAGCTGAAGAATTTGTTACTTCTGAGTTACCAGGAAACACAATGGAATTAGTACTGAAGCCTCTCATCCAGGAAGCAGGCTAATATTGCAGCAGGAACAGCTCATGCTAATTGTCAGTGACCCATGTGAATAATGTCAGTCACCCAGTGAGGAGGAGATGGAAGATGGAATGTTTGCTGAATACACAGAAGCCTGCCCAGATTCTTCTTAATTAAATAATTTTGAAATTTTAAAGACATAAAGTGAAAGTAATTCTCCCTCCCATCTCTGTCCTCTAGCCCAAAAGTAAACCAAATCCACTGCCTATCAAGTCGATTCCAACTCATAGCAACCCTACAGGACAGAGGAGAACTGCCCCGTAGGGTTCCCAAGGCTGTAAATCTTTACAGAAGCAAACTGCCACATCTTTTTCCTGCAGAGTGGCTGGTGGGCTCGAACCGCTGACCTTTTAAGTTAGCAGCCAAGCTCTTAACCACTGCTCCACCAAGGCTCCTTGTCCTCTAGCCCAGGGGTCAATAAACTTTCTCTATAAAGGACCAAATAATAAGGATTTGGGACTTCACAAGCCATACGGTCTGTCACAACTACTCATCTGTGCTGTTGAAGCACAAAAACAGCCATGAACAAGTCAGCATAGCTGTGTTCCAATAAAATTTTATTTACAAAAACAGACAACGAGCTAAATGTGGCCTGTGGGTCATAAATGTCCATCCTGTCCTAGCTTCTCACTTCAGAGGAAACCCCTGTGACCAACTTCTCATGCATCTTTTAGAGCTGATCTATCCAGTTCGTTTTTTGGAGGAAAAAATCATTAACTTTTGAGCTAGTGGTGTTCTGTTTGTTTGTTACTTAATGTTTTCTTACACCATTGCTTCCCTCCAATCATTTCAACGTCCTCTTACAGCTGTACTCAATTCCTGCTAACACAAAAGTAGCCCCCCAAAGTCTGGGTTTTTTGTTGTTGTTGCTTTCATTATTCTTCTATTACCTTTTTTAAATTTAATTGAACCTGGAACACAATTCACAGTTAAAACAGTACGCGGCAGGCAACTCGAAAGATTAGACAGGAAACTTACGGGCAGTGTTTTACGTTAATGAAGGAGGAACAACTCAGACAAGGAGGGTGAGAATGGTTGCACAACTCAAAGAATGTAATCAATGTCATTGAATTGTACATGCAGAAACTGTTGAATTGGTGTATGTTTTGCTGTGTATAACAACAACAAAATAAAATTTAAAAACAAAAAACAGCGTGTGGCAAGATTTCCACGAGTGCTTAGGGAGATAAAACACGCCATCAAGCCTCCATCTAGGCCAGTGTCCGGCCCAGCTTACACAGCACTGCATGTGGGTTTCAGACACAAGTCCAGCTGCCCATAACATGGGATTTTTCCTGTCCATTGCCATTGTTTCTGAAGTCTAACTGTTTGAGTTCTCTCCTGTAAACTTCACCAGAAGGGACACTTGGGTTTGGTATAGGAGTCTACAACCCTTAGGTCTCTTGGACAAACACCATGTCACAGCACCTCTGGCACACACATAACCTCACCTGCACCCTGTGATGTAGTCTCAGCAAGCCAAGTACTGAGACAGGGATATGCATTGCCCAGTATTTGGGAGCAAGTACCACATAAATTAATAACCCCCTCTCCAAAGAAAAGTTTCTATTCAGAAGTCAAACAGCAATCAAGAGAGCAGACAGCATTAATGGGAGGAAGAATTCATCTGGGGAGGGGGCGGAAAAGCTTGTCCATGCCCCCCAACTTGTTTCCTAGCCCCTGCAGAGCAAGTGGGGGTGAGGAGTTGACAAGGGGGGTGAGAAGGAGAAGCCACACATCTCACGGGTAGAAGCCTAAAGGAAGAAGGTCAAAGGTGATACAACTCCAGCCTGCAGGAATGGTCAATTAGTATGATTGTGAATGCTTTTATCTGTCAAATGGAATTTGCTGGCCTGGCCAGGGAAAGCTGCTGGTATGACTTTTTAAACTCAGGACTGAATTGTTATTTGTCTTTAGGGAGAAAAAAAGATATCACAAGATTACACTGTCAATCTACAACAGCAATGCAAAACTATCAGCATTTTTACTGTGTGTAACAAGGTTGCCAGGAAGAAACTGGGAGATTCTTGTAACATTTACTATTTTGAAATTGTTACGAAAACATCCCTCTGAATTGGGCTTGAACCTGGATATTGTTTGACTCTCATGGCCTGGTGGATGCCATGGGGTAAAAAATAATCAGATGTGTCTAGCCTAATGGTCTTTGTACTCCTTTAAGTCACCCAAGACCCCAAAGGGTTACAACTATAAAATAATTTGGAGGATAGGTTCTGATAGACATAAGACTCAGAGCAATAACATTTTACCAATCAGCCAACAAGACCACTAGGAAATTGCGTTTTGTTTTTCTTCATGGTATGAATATAAATAGCTTTATATCAAAACAATCGGAAAGATTAAGAAACACAATATTCCTTTGAGTTGTTAAATCAAACTCGAGTCTTGAAACAGATTTCAAATATGTGTTAGATCAGAGAGTTTTCAGATATTCAAGTTCAATGACCTTTAATATGAAGGACACTTCCTTGGAGACATTAGAGAAAAGATATATCCAAACACTGAAACAAAGACTTCTTATAGTTCACAAAACTTCTTATAATAAAAGCATTGTGCAAAATAACATTGTTTCACCCCAAGGACATCAACCAGAGAATCTTGTTTCATGATTCAACTCTTCAACCTAGTTCAGGACTCAGAACTTACCAGCACAGTGGGTCCTCCCATTGCCCACAAATCCATAGTTGCAAATACAGATCTTCTTCCCTCCTCTCTCCTGGCAGGTGGCATGTTCATGGCAAGTAGCACAGACATCTAAACCTGAATCATAAATTGTACGTTTTAGGAAAAGAAAGTTTCAGTTACCTACTCTGGATGAAACACATTTTGGGTAGTAGACATTTACAAAGGTGAACCAAAATTTGAATAACAAAATAAAATAGGACAGATCTTATCTCATCCCTTAAAACCTTCAATGGCTACTCATTGCTCACAGAATAAAGTGCAAACTCCTCTATGAGGCAATCAATGCTCTTAACAGTCTGACTCCGCGCTAATTCCTCCAGCCTCATGGTTCTCAACCCCAACTCCACAAGGTACTGTCTAGCCAGGAGAGGCCAATTACTCTATCTACTATGATATTCCTTGCTTTAGCCATGATATTGCCTTTACCTAGAATGTCTACCCTTTCTGGTCTACAACTACACATATCTCAAGACCCAACTTAAACATCACATTCTCTCTGAAGTCTTCCGTAGTCCTCCATTCTTGCGGAACATTAAATGCCTGTTCCTCTGTGCTCCCCTTACACTGGTACATTCCCATATCAATCATGTAAATTTGTCATTATATTTGGTTCCAGTTCTGTGTTCCCTGCTAGGTATCGTGAATGAGCTGCTCAAGGACAGAGATTTTGTCACACTTGTCCAGATCCTGGCACAGTAGAAATACTCAATATATTTTTATTGACAGACTGGATAAATGAACCTATGGTCTACTTGCTACAACTCAAAAAGCAAATGGAGAGGAGAGGAAGGCATCTGCCTATTACACTGCTCACCTTCCTTTTAGGGAAGAAGCGAATGTGTTTAAGATGACAGTGAGATAACAGCCAGGTCCCAGCACGATGACCAGATCCCCATTATTTAGATAAACAGCAGAAATGCTTAGGGCTAAAAGTCCCAAAACATCTAACTCTACCAGATGGTGATGTATGGCCCAAGATCAAACAGTTTCTACCGCAGGCTATGTGGGATATTGTTTTAATCACAGGTCTCTGTAGCTTCAGGAGTGGTCTTGTAAGGAGAACCTTTCCAGCATGGAATTTCATCTTAGCATTGGCCCCATTACTAAACAGGCAATACAGGTTTAGCCTTCAGGCTGCTCTAGGAATGAAACCACCTGAGACCCAGAAGTTTGGAAACACTTTTAACCATCCTTGCTTTTTAAAAAAGTAAAGATAAAGGTAGCACAAAAAAAATTGCATTGATTAAGGGTAGGGTTGTAAGCCAATTATTGCAATTGCTGTCAATAAGTTGTACACTTGCAAAAGTTAAACTGGCAAAAGCTGTGTGATAGAAATGAGACAAGCCACTACTTATCATTAAATAATGCCAAATTAACCATGGAATATTTACAACAACGACAAAAATAAAGAGTAGCTGCTGAGGCTGCTTATGTACAACCAAACAGCTCATGGGATTTGGTTCCTCGGTTTGGAGGTTTAGGGTCATGTTTTCATGGGCTATCCCAGTTAATTGGCCTAATAACATACTTAGTGCTTCTGTTCTACCTCCTAGTTCATTGAGTAGGGCCTGGCATCTTAAAAGCTTACAAGTGGCCATCCAACACAATTGGTCACTATTCACCTGGAACAATAGAGGAAGAAGGAGAGTCAGGAATAGGAGGAGGATATGGAATGTGGGGCTAATTGTCTCCATGAACAACTGCATCCTTTGCCATGAGACCAGAAGAACTGAATGGTGCCCAGCTACCATTACTGAAAATTCTGATAAAAAATTCCATAGAAGAATCCTGATCAAAAGGGGGGAAATGCAGAACAGAATTTCATATTCTCATGGGCCCTAGACTTCCTGGAGCCATGGATGATAGATGAACCCCTGAAACTACTGCCCTGAGATAATCTTTAAACCTTAAACCAAAAATATCCCCTGAAGTGTTCTTAAAACCAAACAATAGTTTAACTAGTAAAAAATATCTGCCTTGAGCATTATGATCTTTTAAGAACTACCTATTTGGATCAAAATGACAACAGCAATTTGAAAAATTAGATAGGAATCTTAGGGGGCAGTGAGTTTATGTTAATGAAGGAGGAACAACTTAGAAAGGAGGGTGAGAATGGTTGCACAACTCAAAAAATGTAATCAATTGTACATACAGAAACTGTTGAATTGATGTATGTTTCGCTGTGTATATTCTCAACAACAACAACAAAATTTAGAAATAAATAAATAAAGGTAGCACAGAAATGAGACAAGACGCTACTTATTAAATAATGTCAAATTAACCATGGAATATTTACAAAATTTATTATAACTCAGACCATAAAGAAAAATTTAACAAATTTCAAAAAAGCAGAAATTTCACAGGCCATATTATCTGACCACAATATAATAACATAATAAACTGAAAAATAAGACAGGACTGTTGCTGTTTTGTTGTTAGGTGCCATCAAGTCGGTTCCGACTCACAGAGACCCTATTTACAACAGAACGTAACACTGCCAGGTTCTGAGCCATCCTCACAATCATTGTTATGCTTGAGCCCATTGCTGTAGCTACTGTGTCAATCCATCTCACTGAGGATCTTCTGCTTTTTTGCTGACCCTCTATGTTACCAAGCATGATGGCCTTCTCCAAGGACTGTTCCTCCTGATAACATGCCCAAAGTATGTGAGATAAAGTCTCGCCATCCTTGCTTCCAAGGAGCATTCTGGCTGTACTTCTTCCAAGACAGATTTGTTCATTCTTCTGGCAGTCCATGGTATACTAAATGTTCTTTGCCAACACCATAATTCAAAGGCATCCATTCTTTTTCAGTCATCTTTACTCATTGTCTAGCTTTCACATGCATATGAGGCACCTGAAAACACCATGGCTTGGGTCAGGCGCACCTTAGTCCTTAAAGTGACATCTTTGCTTTTTAACACTTTAAAGAGGTCTTTTGTAGCAGATTTGCGCAATGTAATACGTCGTTTGATTTCTGGACTGCTGCTTCCATGGGTGTTGATTGTGGATCCAAGTAAAATGAAATCCTTGACAACTTCTATATTTTCTCCGTTTTCTCACGATGTTGCTTATTGGAACAGTTGAAAGGATCTTTGTTTTCTTTATGTTGAGGTGTAATCTATACTGAAGGCTGTGGTCTTTGATCTTCACCAGTAAGTGCTTCAAGTCCTGTTCACTTTCAGCAAGCAAAATTGTATCATCTGCATATTACAGGCTGTTAATGAGTCTTTCCTCATCCTGATGCCTCTTTCTTCTTCATATAGTCCAGCTTCTCAGATTATTTGCTCAGTACACAGATTGAATAAGTATGGTGAAAGGATACAACCCTGACACACACGTTTCTTCACTTTAAATCACGCAGTAGCCCCTTGTTCTGTTCAGATGACTGCCTCTTGGTCTACGGACTAGCACCCCCAAAAGAAAACCTACTTGGAAACCACAGAACACAGCTAACTGAGGTCTAATTGCTTGAGGGACTCAGTAGCCTCCTGGGGGAGATGTGGGGGAATTTTATTGTTAAAAATAAAAAAGCTCATCTTGTAGAAAGGAAGAGGGAAGAAACACAATCCCAATCCAAGGACAGATGGGAAGGCTGCTTTTGACTATACAACAGTGTCTATTGTTCAGTAGCCTCTGGCTCAGTTAAGAATCACCTAGAGACAGGGTGACCAACTCATCTCGGGTTTTTTTCTTTTTTCTTTTTTACTCATCCCAGTTTTAACGCCGAAAATCCCATGCTCTGATGTGCACCTGGGAGCTACTTAGAAATGCATATTCTCGACCCCACCCTGCACATACGGAACCTGAATCCATGGAGACTCTGTGTTTTAACAAGCTCAACCTCAAGGACTTGGGGCAGAATCCTGGGGAAAGGAAAGAAGAGGCAGTAATGAATCTTTCACCAAACTAGAGAGAGGCACAGCAAAGCTATGAGGCCAATATGACAGAGAGAGTAACCCAAGGGAGAGGATTCTCCAGACCAATAGAAAGATCACTCTGCCTTTCCTATAACCTGAGGGGCAGCTGTGTTAGGGGGCAGCTTCACATCCACATCAACAAGGACTTTAGCTCCATCCAGCAGCAGACTTGGTGGCCTGAGAGCAGAGAGGTGCGTGTTAGGTGGTAACTGAGCAAACTATTGCTGAAGTAAGGGACCTCGCAAGGACTGCTAGAATTACCGGCGGAGAAACAGAATTGGAAGTTCCAAAACAATAGAAGGAGGAAAAGTCTAACAAATACACTTTGTTACTATTATTGTATTCCCAGGCTGGGGCTGCTGCCCTAGGTTCGTTTCCCACCTCTACTCCGCAATGATTCAGCTAAAACCATATCCAACAATGAGAGGATGAGACAGGTTTTGGCATCTCAGCCTAGGTTACCAGCTTCTCTCTTGCTCACTGGTTATGTGACCTCAGGTAAATTAAACTCTGAGTGCTCCAGTTTTCTAATCCGTGAGATGGAGATCCTGTTGTGAGGATTAAATAAGAAATATACATGCTGTATGAACGTTAGAGCACTATACAAATGTGAGAGATAATTTACATGAATATTTGTGTTAATTTCCATGTTATTATTGTTAGAAATAAGTCATGTGAGATGCCCAGTGACAAGTAGTTGGCATAATGGTTAAGAGCATAGATTACAACCAAAAGATCCAGCTATCCCGTTCCTTGGAATATATCCTAGAGAAATAAGAGCCATCACACAAATAGATATATGCACATTCATGTTCATTGCAGCACTGTTCACAATAGCAAAAAGATGGAAACAACCTAGGTGCCCATCAACAGATGAATGGATTAACAAATTATGGTATAGCCACACAATGGAATACTATGCAAAGATAAAGAACAACGATGAAGCCGTGAAACATCTTATAACATATGGAGGAATCTGGAGGGCATTATGCTGAGTGAATTTAGTCAGTCACAGAAGGACAAATATTGTATAAGACCACTATTATAAGAACTCAAGAACAGGTTTAAACACGGAAGAAAACATTCTTTGATGGTTACAAGGGTGGGGAGGGAGGGTGAGGGTTATTCACTAACTAGATAGTAGATAAGAATTATC